TCCGCAACACGTTCTTCATCCTCAACCTCTCCCTTAGCGCGGGAGGTGGAAGGAGGGGGGTGATTTCGGTGGCAGTGAACGGTGAGGTGGCTAAGTCACCTTCTGGTTCCATTGGGTTGGGTGCCAGTGGCAGGAAAAGGTGGCGCCTATAGCGTGAGTGGGGAGTGCTCGAAATTATCTTGAGAAGTGGCGTCGGCTCAGTAAAAATGAGAGACTTGGTTACCAAGTCCATCTTTCTTGCGCCTTCTTCTTTTTGATGATGACATATCATTCCTACCTTTCCTACCTTTGCACATGTTGCCTTGTGATGCATAAGTCATCCACCGTCCACCGCCACTTCCTTCCTTCCTCTTCTCCTACTCATGCTTCCCTTATCATGTCTGACTAGTGACCACGATCAATGGTGCCAAAAGAGGGATGTTTACACCTCCACCAGGCTTTCCTAAACACAAGGAGCATTGGTGTAGCTCATCGTGTTGTTAGTTAACTTTTGGGGTTTTCCCCTCCCTCCACACATGTCCTTCGCTACTTTCTCCTCATTTCATCCCTTGATATTTCTTTCTTCATTCATTTATCCAGATCAGATGGTCACACAACGATCTGCTTACGGGTTAGATTATTCATTCATTTGTATTTTCATTGAGGTTGTAAATCACAATAATATTATCTATATCTATACCAATATAAAAGACCCAAGGGGTAGATTAAGGTAATCTCGGCCATCAAACTAGGCAAATCCAGTGACCTATATTGCTCCAATGATGAGCGCTCAATATGTTTAGTGTGCATTAATATTCTCCAGGCTAATTGCTCGTGCGTTGCAAGGGGTGCGTACTTAGTGGTTCGGTATCAATCTTGTTTGACATACACCTTACATCCGTCATAATCTAGATTTTTGTAAGATTTAATTTGATGAAACTCATGGGAGTATGGGTAGGGGAAGGCAAGAAACATTTTGATTTAGTTGATATCTTGTAAAATTGAGTTGATTGAGTTATTGCATGATGTGGATTTGGGTCATAATAGATTTGCATCAGATTATTTCGAGTTATTATATTTATGTTGGTTTCTATTTTGTGCGGCATTAGTTGGGTTACCAAAAAACAACATGAAACCAAAGGGGGAAGGGAAACATGGGAGGAAAAAAAGGCAGATGGGTGGTGGAGACGACATAACTAACCCCCCTTTAATAGTACAGACTATCATGTATCAATAATATTCCCTCTCAAAAAATTAGGACCCTGATAAGTGACACATGTGTGACACAAACACATGGAAACTCCGGACGTTTTTTATGGCAAGCTTAAAGACGCGAGGATGTCAACTTAATTGTCAAGCATGACAACTTTCTTTTCCGGTGGTAAGTCTTAGTTTTTTGGGGTTTTTTGGATGACAACTTTAGTTGTAAAAAACACTAGGCGCGGATTGTTTCGTGTCACAACGTGTGCCACCTGTCACTTCAGGAAAATTATCAATACTTGTGCTAATCATATAATTATTATTGCGCAAATAATATCCTACCTAGTCAATCCAATGATACAAATGATCTTGGCCAGCAAACCAGGTCAATCCAATGACCTAGATTGCTCCAATTTTTAGCACGCAATTAAACCATACCAAACATTCAACATTAGTGGCAATCACATAATTAATGAGCACATAATATCCACCGAACATTTTCATGTAATTAATATAATACTTATTATCTTCGTCCGGAATTGCTTGTCGCTGTATCTAGCACTATTTTAGCGCAAGATACATCCATTTGAGGACGGAGGGAGTATGTAATATCAACATATTGCAGGTACATATTTACTAGTAGTAAAAAATGGGCCGCGTATAGAAAATGAAAACAAAATCAGGCACTTTTGTATCACATTGATTCGTACATGCACCCATGAGATCCCACACGTGAGCGTTGGACGGTCAGAATTTTTTTGGAATTATAGAATCACAATAATAGCAGCAGGAAAGGGCCAAAACAGGTGGAAAGGTACGTCTCTCTCTCGCTTGTCTCCAGCTCACCATCTTCCGTCAGATCTCACGCTCGCACACAGCAAAACCGGAGGAGAAAACACAGCGACACTGTCCATCCTCCGTCCACAAAGCTCGCTCCTTTGTCCTCCTCCTCCCCCCAATCACGCCCGCGAATCGTGCCACGCACGGAAGCGAGCGAGCCAATCCGATCCGGGCGGCGGAGGCGGCGCGATGAGCTTCCGGGACGAGAGCGGCGGGGAGGACGGCAGCGGGGGCCGGTCGTCCTCGGCGTCCGACCTGCGCAAGCCGTTCCTGCACACGGGCAGCTGGTACAGGATGTCCGCCGCCGGCGGCGGCGCCATGGACCGCCTCGGCTCCTCCGCCTACGGCCTCCGCGACAGCTCCATCTCCGCCCTGCTCTGCACCCTCATCGTCGCGCTCGGCCCCATCCAGTTCGGCTTCACCTGCGGCTACTCCTCGCCCACCCAGGACGCCATCATGGCCGACCTCGGCCTCACCCTCTCCGAGGTTCTTCCCCGCGCGCCGCCTCCCGTCCCTCTTCTAGTCCTATGCTTCTTTGCCTCCATGGCCTTTGCTTTATGCCGTCTCCTTGCTCGCAGTTCTCTTTATTCGGATCCCTGTCCAACGTCGGGGCCATGGTGGGCGCCATTGCCAGTGGCCAGATCGCCGAGTACATCGGCCGTAAAGGGGTGAGGTTTCAATTCCCTTTGACCTCTGTCTGCTCCTGTGACCCACAATTGTACTGTCAGATGTACGGAGTATTGGATTCTCGGATCTGCTCCTGGAATTTTCTCATGGAACTTGATTCAGTCGTGCACTCACTGACTGACGATGCTCTCTGCTTTGTTGCTCCTGCAGTCTCTGATGATCGCCGCTATCCCGAACATCATTGGGTGGCTTGCAATATCGTTTGCAAATGTAAGATTGCTTAATTTACCCCTGTTATTTTTAGGGATGCTCGTCAGTTTAACTTACTTCTGAATTGTTCTGTGCAGGACTCCTCATTCTTGTTCATGGGCCGTTTGCTGGAAGGATTTGGGGTCGGTGTGATATCCTACACGGTCTGTATCCCTCTGCTCCTAACCTTGTAAACAAATTCACTCCAGAGTCCAGTCATGAATTGATAATTCGTTTGCTGTCTTAGTCAATTGGTTCTTAAGTTCACAAAAAATACAGTGCCAGCTCCCAAGTCCCAACACATGGGAGAGTAGACTGTATTTAAGCTTAACCAAATACCAAGTGTAAACAACAGTTGTATTTCCTATTCCGGGACATCAAGGGTGTAAAGATGTGCTGTTGCCTGTTGGTATGGCCTATGATATGGTAGCTTCCCCTGGCCTAATCATAATCCAACAGTATTTATCATCAGAGTAGCTTCTCTGTCTGTTCAGTCTCTGAACAGATAAGGATGAAAACATCAAACCCTTTTCTGGATCAAAATGAACTTATAATTAGCCTATAAGAGGAACTGAAAAGGCCGGTATTCTGTATCGACTTACAGCTGCGCAGCTGGGTTGTGATTTTGTGACTTACAACCTCTCTTTTTGCTGGGTATTGAAGTTGGGGATTTTCATGAATGCCATTGAACTTCAGTGTTACTTTGCATAAAAATAGCATATCTAGATATCATTTGAACTCGTGCATACTGATTGTTCTGAAGTTTATCGGATTGGGCGTTCACTGTTGAACAATATCTTATCCTTTAGGGGCACTCTAGCTGCATCCACTTGGATATTTTCATGCCTGACATTACTTTTCTGTCTGAAAATTTCGTTTCATGGTGTCAGGTGCCAGTTTATATAGCAGAAATTGCTCCACAAAACATGAGAGGAGCTCTTGGTTCGGTCAATCAGGTCAGCACTTGTATAAACAATAACATTTGATTTAGTGTAGTCTGTCTTCTGGTCTGACCATTTGCTTGCAAGTTTTAACCCTGCCCATAATTTCTTACGCAGCTCTCTGTTACAATCGGTATACTGCTTGCCTACACATTAGGCATGTTTGTTCCCTGGAGAATTCTTTCTGTTCTTGGTAAGATGGACAAATGATAAGATGTGCTGCTCGTCTAAATCAGCTTTTGCTAAGTTAATAGATTGGTTAATACAAAATATTGTCCTAACTCACTTATGTTACATTCACATTTCTAAGGCATTTTACCTTGCTCAATCCTGATACCTGGACTGTTCTTCATTCCTGAATCACCAAGGTGGCTGGTAAGTGAAGTGATGTGTTGCATTATTTTTTGTTGACATGAACATAAGCATCTAAACAGAGCAACTGTTGTACCAGGCAAAAATGGGAAAGATGGAAGATTTTGAATCTTCACTGCAGGTCCTGCGCGGATTTGAAACTGATATCTCAGCAGAAGTAAATGAAATAAAGGTAACATGTAGTAACAGGGATCAATTTTGCTGCAATCATGTCATATGCAATGTACACATTGCTGGCAACTTTATGCTTTATGCTACACCTGAAAATATTTTTCTTTTAAGTAATATATAAGGGCCTGAAAATATTTTTCTTTTAAGTAATATATGAGGGAATGTAAACCTTTTTTTTTTACATTTTGCTACACAGAGATCAGTTGCCTCATCTAGGAGGAGGACAACCATACGATTTGCAGAGATCAAACACAAGAGATATAGTGTTCCTCTTATGGTTGGTAATTTGCATTAAATACTTTGCTTTAACACATCAATGTTCCTCTATTTGCTTACTGGTTTTCACTTGCTTAGATAGGAATTGGCCTCCTTATACTTCAGCAACTAAGTGGTGTCAACGGCATTTTCTTCTATGCTGCAAGTATCTTCAAAGCTGCTGGTATGTTCTGCATAATTTGACGAGGCTCTGCTTATTAAGCATGCTTGTGTGTAATAGTTTTCCTCACACATTTAATAACTCTACAGAAATACTGTGAACGTGCAATTGAACTAAATGGTAAATTCAAATGTTAGTAAGCATGCTGCACATCCATAGCAGTTTGATTGGGATATTTGGATCACTTGTAAAATGTAATGCTGCCCTGTCTGTATGTGATTTGTACTCGCAGGAAGCTCATATCGCAGTACTGAGCCTTAATATATCAGCAATAGCAATAGCTTGTATGTCATGTCTGATATCTTACAAAGTTCTCTTCCTAAACAGGTCTTAAAAACAGTAATCTCGCAACATGTGGTTTGGGGGCTGTTCAGGTATATTCATCTTATCGTTACATCCACATTGTGCCTATGAACTTTGTGGGATTGTGGGTTTGGTATTTGCGTACTTATTGGGATCTTTTCATTGTTAGGTGGTTGCTACTGGAATCACAACCTGGTTGACTGACAAAGCTGGTCGACGGCTACTTCTCATTGTTAGTTACATCACAAGACAAGTTTTTTTTTAAGATGAAAATATGATTTGCGTTGATTAATTTCTTTTACTTTCCAGATCTCTGCTACAGGGATGACAATCAGTCTTCTCGTTGTTTCTGTGTCATTTTTTGTGAAGGTAACTCCGCTTAAAATGTTAATGGCATATGTAATGGTTTGTTGTGCAATTGTCTAATCTAGATCAATCAGTACTACCTGAGTTTCCCTCTGATATATTTTAGTGTCAATTCTGAAACAGGACAACATAGACGAAGCTTCTCATTTACACTTTGTGATGAGTATGCTTTCACTGGCTGGACTTGTGGTTAGTTTCAGTTCTGTCTATATACGTCTCTGCTTTATTGGTCAGAGTGAGCAGGTTTAATGCCTTGCTTTTTGCTACTGCAGGCATTTGTGCTTGCATTTTCTCTGGGCATGGGAGCCATCCCATGGATTATAATGTCTGAGGTATAGTCTGATCCTCCTTACTGCAAATATCTAGAAGTTCAATAATTACACTTACATCTATCTGATTTTATCTCTGTAGTTGTTACCACTATCATTTGCCACTTCTGTTCCTGTCTGAATATCCTCTATAGCCTCTTTTTTTTTTATCAATGAGCCGTCCTCGAACATGCCTTTTTACCTATGAAATGGAGCGAAACGCTGCAGTTGCAGTCGCTCTTGTGGTTTTGTCGACCAGCTGCTGCTTCAAGACATACAGGAAACTGCATTTTTTGTAATGTAGCCTAGATTACACTGACCGTAGCTGTACCTATCACTAAAGACTGCAACTACTGCTTTTAGCTTTAGCTGTACCATCACCAAAAACTGCAGTGGTTGCTTTGTGTTTCATATCTGTAGTTGCAAGTGACAGTGACAACTTACCTAGAGCAAACTTCACACTGAACATATCTAGAAATATAATAATGCGTCGTCCACATTGTGTCCCTACAGATTCTTCCTGTTAACATCAAGAGTCTTGCCGGAAGCACCGCCACCCTTGCAAACTGGATGACGTCGTGGCTCATCACGATGACCGCGAGCTTGATGCTAAACTGGAGCAACGGAGGTCAGTCTATTCCTCCCTCTCTGTCCCTCTACCTTCCTACCTCTTTTATGACACTGTGTCTTACCACGAACCATACGTCTTGTTTCAACCAGGAACCTTTGCTATATACGCGGCAGTGTCCATGGGCACCCTCCTCTTCGTGTGCCTGTGCGTGCCGGAGACCAAGGGGAGAACGCTCGAGGAGATTGCGTTCTCGTTCCGCTGAAGCCCGGAACCACGGCGCGTAGGGTAGACAGGCAGGCGGGCGCGCGTCGTGCTACTTGATGGCTGTTTCGGGTCAGGCCTCGGGCCTGGACCAGGTAGTCGCGCAGCTGTGTTTTTTGCAGGAGGGATATTTGTATCATGTGTTTGTGTAATAGTGTACTATCAGTGTACCATTTGTGTATGTGCAATAGAATGGGGAGGGGTGGAATGGGCACCCAACCCCCCCTTGCAGTCAGTCAGTCGGTCGGTCAGGGGAGTGTGCAGTAAGTAGAAGAGCAATTTGGTGGTCAGTACATTGGGTTTCATATATACAGCAGCAGCTGTGGCCAAAGGAATAATTCAGATGTAATGTCCAAGAATAAATTTTGAGCTACTTTCAGTGTGCTGCATTATGGCTGTAGACTGTAGTGTGCATGGCAGTTCCCAGAAACTATTGCCTGAAAGTCTTGTTGAGGAGAAAAAAAGTGTTGTGCTGTCAGCTGTACATTTGGGCCGTCTCGTTGGGCTTAAGACACATATCTGCGCCCTTCTTCTTCAGCCAGCCCCCCACCGCCCTAGAAGTGATGGAGGCCCAGAGGAACCCGATGCTGGAGCGGCCCATCAATGAAGCCCACGTTACTGCAGCTCTGGGTCTGGATCCTTCTTCCCTCCTGGTATACTGTCACTCCTACTCCGGTACTCTACTCTTCCTCAAAAAAAAAAAAAAAAACTCCGGTACTCTACTGTACAGTACCAGACGACCGTTGCAGCTGTGCCCCCACCCACACACCCCGGTACTCTACTGTACAGTGCAGTACTCTGCGGTCTACGGTGTGTGTACTGTGGCCTACCCTACTACGAGCCCCCTCCATCCCAGACAGGAG